CGTAGAGCTATTAAGTAAACAGGGCCTAAATTAATTTAGTAGTTTCATTTAATTGTTTGTCTTGCTTTTATTTGTCAGTACAGAATATTGTAAATTAAAATATTACTACAATGCAATACGCGCAGTATTTCATCAGACATCTGCACTAATAAATACTGTACAAGGAAAACTACAGCTTAAATAATAGTAGACGTTTCTTGTTTTGTCAGGAAACATCACAGCTCACTTCGACACAGCTTTTCAGTTTAGTAACCGGCCAAGGCGAAAGTAAATCATGCAGTCGGGAAAACGCACTGATCTGAAAGAAAACGTCTTACTTTGAAAGATTATTTTGCAAAACATACTCGTACACACAAGAATCATAAAAATACAAATGTTGAATTGTTATTGTCAACTGTCAAGTTAAGTTATTTTTAGACAATATGGTGTTAGCCAATCAGAATGCAAAATTGACCGGCCCGGACCAGGGCTTCCTCGTGTCTCGCCTCGTCCTCACACTGAAGCCCTGGGAACGAGGTTGGGGCTATAGTGTAGGGGATATGGGGTGGGGCAGAGTCTCTATCTAGAATGGTATGTAATAATTTAATCAATTACTGACCCAGTTGACTCCCTGAATCCACGGGCAATAGGACAGGTGTAGTGTTGTTAAATAGAAAGTTGGAAATGGTATTATACTTACTCATGCATTATAATTATGTTTTAAAGATCATAATATTCATAACTTCTTATTTTGTTTCATAAATAGTTCTTTAATATTCGAAACAAATTCCATATCTGCTTCGTCTGCATTCTCGTACCCAGAGCCCTTCTTACGCGCGTTCGACCGAGCACGACGAGGGGCTCTGGCCAAATCCATATCAAACTGGCTTCTGATTGGCCACAACGAAATATATGGTTTATTATAGTAGATATGAATAAAAATACACAAGCGCTCCACGAAGCGTTGGTTTCCCTTTGAAAATTGGGAGAAAAGACATTATTAAAGTTGAAAGAACAGCAGTTAGGAAGATTGTTGTTGATAATCGCTCACAAAAGCGGTAGATGTCGCTAATTTTATTTATTTAAATCAATTAGTTGATTGAAATTAATAGGTTGAGACGTGATGTTCTCATAGCAAAAAGTCAGCATATTTATGACAGATGCTCGTCGTATTTCCAAATCAGTGATGTTAATCAAACAAATCTGTGTTACATGTTCAAAGCTGAAGTACCATCTGAAGAGAAAATATTAAAGCCAGCCATAATATGAAGTTAATTGTGATGACTATTTTCTTCCTAGAAACCGATTTTTTACAATTTTCAAATGATTTGCAGTATAGTATGTCTTATGTCAATCTCGTTCCCCGAGCCTGCGATCCTTGGGAAGGAAACGAAGGCTCTGGGATAATCCATGTCAGAAATGAATATGATTGGTTGCTGGTATACAATGGAATGTTGCAATTTTGCAAAAATTAATTTTTAACCGTATATTTTTACATACAACATGGCGGCCGTTTGGGAGTGTACGAATATTGTTTTGGTGTTCCAGAGCTGTGCTATATACTAATACTACAAAGGAAATGCAAAGAAACGTATACTTAATGCGTATAATATCACAACAGTTAAATGGAGCGTGAAAACTTTACTCATATTTTGTGTTGTACAGGTTTTCTGTAGTTTTAATCTATACATAGTATACAGTACTGTCAGTACACTGTACTATTTGACTATAATATCAAATATGTGCTATATTTTGCAAATACTATTTGTGTCAGAAATGGTTAATAACTTTTATTATATAGGCTTTGTGTTATTTAATTGCGAAGAACTAGCTAATGACTAGTTTCAATAAATCCAATCTTGGGATTTATATTTTATTATTTAATGTATATACTGTACTGTAAACTTTTCAAGTGCAGGAGTATGTAATACTCATTTTAACTTGTAGCATGTAACCTTTCCCTATATGGGTACATGCATATGAATCTTTTGTTGTTATAATTTATTTATAGAAGTGTTCAAAAAACCTTTATTCTCTAAATAAACCACAATTTCGCAGGCAGTGATATTAACTTGTATTCCAGTCTGCATACACCTAATACATACAATGAATTCTTGGGTTTCACTAGGCATTTTGCATGTTCTGATGTGGGGTCAACCTAAAATGTATTGATGCTTATGCTGTACTGGAGTGAGCAAATGATATGAAATTGCATGTATTTGCCACCAAACACAAGGCCAACACATACAGTGAAAAATTCACTCTGATGACTGCGTCTCGATTTAGAGTTGACCCCCCGTCAAATTTATGACGTCATATGAAACACAATAATATACAGTATAATATTACAGCTAACTGTAGCAGAAAGTATTTAATAATTTAAATTTATTGAGTAGTACAATATGCCAAATTGGCAATCCCTTTATTAATCTTGTCCACACAGTAATTGAAAGAAGCCCTGCACTCTGTACGAGGTTGTATTAATTGGATTCTGTCCAAGAAAACATCATAAACCTTTCATCCAAGTATGAATTCCAGATTGGGAAACCATATAAATATTTTTAATAAATTCATATACTTTTTTAAAATTAAAGAAATGTTCTATTCACAAAAATATTAAATGATAGTGATCAGCCACTAAATTATACCAGAATTCATTTTCATCAGCTTCCCCCTGTTATGACCCCCTGCAGGGAACCACCTAGGGTGCAGGTATAATTTTGTGATGAATGATAAAAAATTGCCCAATGTAAATGCCAAGCCATAGAAATATTTTTATTACCATGGTCATGACAACTACCCTGTCAGTTTGATTGCAATATCAAAACTTGTTATTTACACTATAAAACAACACATACCTACTCTGAGAAGGGGCAACAAAAACTCCGTTTTTTCCATTCCTATCCAATTCAAATCATGCTGGCCACGAAAACAATTTCCTGATTGCCGATACAATAAATTGCCAAATGCCTGACAATTTGGGCCAGCGACGCCCCTGAATGCTACAATGATAGCAACCTCTATTGCTATTACATCTCCAACCTTGAATGTCCTATTTAGTACAGTGGTTAATTAATGGTAGTAATCAACATGAAGTCAAGTACATTTCTGGCCATTGGTGAGAAATATTGTCCAGAAGTACAGTGAAATAACAAAAAAAGTGCACTAAGAGCATTGTGGCTTAATGATCTAATGGGATAATTAACCAAAGATAGCTGGTAGACATGCAGATGGACTGGTTAACCCATTCAAATACCAAAATCAAAGTCCAATACTTTCCCCTTGACGAGAAAAAATTCTGGCATTAAACAGCTTAAAATAACAAAGTAGGGCAAACTGAGGCACATTGCAGCTTAACTTGCTCCAACTCTATCATTACAAACTGTAAATCTTTAATAGTAAAATTCATATCCAGACACAAAATTTGGTTACAATTCAATAATTTGAAAAGTGCTGTTGCATCCCTAACCTACTAAACTGCTTGCAAATATTAAAGGAAAGCTATAAGGGCAGTTAAAAAATATAACAAGGATTTGGTTTATAAATTGTTAATTTCTAGAGATGATAACACAATACAAACATGGAATTCACTATATTCATATTTTTAATGATATGTTTTATAAGTCTAAATTCCTTTTAATATTCCTCTGATATACAAATCTTCTGAAAACTTTAATATTATCAAGGTTTATAAACGACTTAATATTAGAATTGAGACTCTTCAGGTATTTTAATACTACAGTAGCAATTAATACACAGTACATTGTAATTGTTTTTGTTCTTGAAAATTGCCCTTTCCACGCGCTCTTTCAACCATTAGAAACATAATAGCGTTAAACGGCTAAATTATGCTGGAGGAACCACAAATGTCTCTACATTTAAAGCTTTTTCAAACTGACACAGAGGTGAATGGACAAGATTACAATTAATTGTGACATTTTTCTTCGACAACAGCACTCTTCGCGGCTCCTGCCGGCTCTATACTGACCCTGTTTCACACGCAATATTTTCCTTATTCAGTCGCTAACACACCTTTTGTATCCCACTATGAAGAACATCAACATTTCCACCAAAACCCCGAAAAAATAATCATTTTATAGACGAAACAATAAAATATTTCAAACAATTTGTTTTGCTTTTGGCAACGCATGCGCAGTTCGGTCGACATACAGTTTTCTGTATGTCTGAGATGGATTATCCCAGAGCCTTCGTTTCCTTCCCAAGGATCGCAGGCTCGGGGAACGAGATTGGTCTTATGTATGACTGTTGACTTTTAATAAAACACAAAAAAGTCTAAAAATCTGTACAACAGCGACTTAAAATCGAATATAAAATAGTGAGACAATCTCTCGTCTTCGTATCCGTAGCCATTACTGCTTTGGCAACGTTTAAGAGGGAAATATATACTAAATTTTTATCAACATGCATTGAGAACATCACGTCTTACCTACTAATTGATTTAAATAAATAAAATTAGCGAAACCTACCGGTTTTGGGGAGTTTTCCTGGAGAAAAACTTTCAAAACGAAACAAACAAGAAAGCCGAAGTGTTTATCCGCGTTTGACGTTGAGCATGCGCAGTGTTTAACCGGGTACCATGTTTTTATGGTATCCGGTTATGGATTTGGCCAGAGCCCCTCGTCGTGCTCCGTTGACCGCGCGTAAGAAGGGCTCTGGGTACGAGAATAGGCCATCATATACCCATCTAATATCAAAATAGCATCCTTACTTTGTGTAAAAGTATTGGGGCACAATGCAAATATGGTGACAAAATTTAGTTTTCACTTGTATAGCCCCAGCGAGTTAACGCTCTGTAGAGCGTCTTGTTTATTATTATAACCAGGGCTCTCAGAACGAAATTCCAAATTTTCCTTAGACTCAGCGGTAAAAATTCCTTAAGTCGACAAAAATTTCCTTAGACTCGGCCTAGTTTCCAAGGAACACTCCATGTCGCGCGATCATTGGCGCGAAAATATGTAAATAACTTTGTAAATGGAAATATATAACGTAATAAATGGAAAATGGCGGATTCTGAATTTTCAGATTATGAATCCGAGGGAAGGGCTCCAAAAAAGCCTAAAATTAAAACAAAAAAGTATAAACAAAAATTTCGAGCGGAATGGACAAAAGATCCTGCTTTTAAACATTGGCTTGTTGCACCAAAAAACGCGAACGACGAACCATCATGCTGCAAAAAAATTTCGTGTTCGAAAACTGCTCTTAAAAGACACAGGGAGTCAGCTCACCACAAGCAACCTTTCCCAAATCCATCAAACCAGGTCAGCATTCAAGTTAGTCTTCAAAAACAAGAGAATACCAGCTCATACAAAGAGACCACTACAGTTCAATTGGCTGCTTTCATCGCCGAACACAATCTACCTCTTACTATCAGTCCATTCCTTCTCGATTTGCTAAAATCAAGAGCACCACAGAATATTCAGGAAGCTAAATCCCTTCAAGAAGTGAAGTTAGGAAGTACCAAGTGTACAAACATAATTCGCCAAGGCGGTCGGACTTTTTTATGCGAAGGAATTGGTTGAGATATTACGAGCATCATTTATAACAAAAACGTTCAATGGTCAAATATATTTCTTGCCGATCATGAAGATGAACCGCAACGTTGCTTCTTCGTCGAAAAACAATTTCCTGGCCACCATTGATTGTTGATCGGCCGTTATTTCGAGCCCTGCCTTGATGAGTACAGTATTATCGTCTGGCATTAAACACAATTAAATAGGGTGCAATGAAAATCAATGGTTTAAGTAGATACAGTTTGATTAACCCATTGAGCACCAATGCTCTCCCTTGAGGAGTAAAATCGTTTGGCGTTAGACAGTAATAGTAAGCTTGTTAAATTTCCACTTTACTAAATTCAAAGATTCTGTGAAATTTCTTTAAAATTTCCATGAAGAAAATTTGCGAATCAATTTTTTGTCCGTATTTAGGAGTGCAGCGGACAGAGCATTTTATAATTACTTCAATTCAATTCAATTCAAAATTCAATTCAAAAGTCTTTTTAATAGATCAAAAGATAAAAATACATATCTTATGTTACAAGTATATATTAAAAAATACATTAATAAAGTTTACATCATATGAATAGGTTATAGTTAAAAATTAATCTATTTGCAAACGACAATTTAAAACGTTCCGTGTTCACTCTTGGATACTGACTAAACTCTGTCCTCAAAGAGTAGCTTGTGAATTTTTTTCTTGGTATCAAGTCGACTATGGCACTCTTCTGATTTACAGAAGCTTTAAAAGATATCTAATATTTACAGGTTCTGATATATACTTTCGCTTAAAACATCTGTCAAAAAACCGTTGTAGAGTATTGAGTTCGGCTGGAGAAGAACCGTAGACGGACAGGCCAAACGTTATAGTTGATATTACTAGGGTCTTAAATAGATAATCTATCTCACATTGGCTATAGCCTTCTGCCCTGAGTGTTCGTATAACGTACAAGCATTTGTTTGCTTTGACCAATTTACCTCGCACATGACTGGTGAACTTGAGATTGTCTTGAAAAGTAGTACCTAAAATGGGAAGTTCTTTGCATTGGGGTATATTATAAATATTGTCAAGTTGATCATTATATCCCTTCTTCCGGATGATAAGCTCTTTACATTTACCAGGGTTACAAGTCATAAAATTATCATCAGACCAGCTCAGGAATTGTCCAACTGTATCTGTTGATGTATCAGGACTCTCACTCCAAACTGGCACTATTATATTTGAATCGTCCGCATATTTAAAAAGAGCGTTCTCGCCGTCTATGTCCACCTCCAAATCATTTAGGAAAATATTAAAAAGGTAAGGTCCACTTACGCTCCCCTGTGTTGTACCCTTATTAACATCCATCCATCCATTCTCCACAAAAATCGTTACAAACGACTCTTTGCTTTCTATTCTTTAGAAAATTTAAATACCAATTTATGATATAAGGGTTGAGTGGCACAGTTTTTAACTTTTCCGAGAGGAGTGAATGTTTCACTGAGTCGAAAGCCTTGCTAAAATCCATAGAAAACAGTCTAACTGCTTTGCAGTCCGCTCTATCTAAGAAGCTGAGTACTTTGTTCTGAATAGTTAACAGAGCGTTTGTACAACTCCCCCCCTGCCTGTACGCAAATTGCGTTGGGGATAAAATTTCCTCAACTGTCGACTTGACCTGACTATTATAAACGAGCTTTTCGAAGGTCCTCGCAATTACAGGTGTAATATTTATTCCACGAAAGTCACCATCTTCCTTTGGTAAATCAACCTTTGCAAGAGGGTTAATATTTGCTCTTTTCCATGAGTCTGGCCAAGTATGTGATGAAAGGGACAAATTCCAGACGTTAGTTATAACTTCGGTTAGAATTTCCGCATTATCATTCCAAACCCAATAGGGATCATTCCAAACCCAATAGGAATTTCCGCATGATCATTCCAAACCCAATACTATATTTTTGGATAAGACATCCACATGATCACCGTTGAGAGTTGCATGGAAAACGAACAATAAACAATTCCCAGGAGGGAATTAAAATTGAATGTTGAATTATCTAAAATAAGCTCAACTCGTCAATATTTGTCTTAGTGAGACCATAAGAACGTCATTATTGCATTAAACATGGTTCAATTAACCCCTGAACAGACAACATTCGTATTGAAAACGTTTTACGAAACAAGTACCTTGCAGAAGGCTCGCGTTGCTTTTGGATTGATTAACTTTGCATTAATAATTCACGCACGTTAGGTGAAAGAATAGCCCGAAAATAAGTAAAACACACACCAAATAATTGGGAGAATGGGTTCGGGGTGAAGTGAACCAATTATATACATTATACTCTCAAACTCTGGTCAACCCAAAGACTCATTAAGCCTTATGTTTTCGTCCCGCAGGGGTATATATAAGACCTGCTAGGAGAGACTGAATGCTCCATAGGAGCTCTGCCCGAAGGGTAGCGACCCCCTCTGATATAGACCTGAACCAAGGGGTGATAATCCCCTTGGACAGTACCTACGATTCGACTGATTATATTTACATAAACAACCTGAGTCTATGGGCCTGAAGTTGACCATTGGGAACACTTCAACCCCGAACCAAAATTTATTTGTTTCAACATAAACCAATTTAAGTATTACATAGCCATCATTCCCATGAGAAAAAAATGTTCAATAGTCTTTCTTGAGAAATTGTTCTCGAACAGTCCTTGCATAACATTAGTTAGTACCCATGCTTATTTCATAATTGAGTCGGTTTCCTTTGAAGATCTGCGGGCTGTATTTAACATAAATATCGGTCATAAGGCCAACCATCTAAAAGCACGGGGAGGGTTTTGATATTCAGCAGGGAAGAGCGGGGCTGATGAATTGAATTGAATTGAATTGAATTGAATTGAATAGATAACTATGAATAAGTGGGCTGTATTCAGATACAGCCCGGAAATATTGGGCTGTATCTGAATACAGCCCGCTGTTCTAGTATTGTACCTGGATACAGGCCATGAATTGATAATCCATTGAACTTTAATTACACTACAACCACTTCGATTTACATTTCTAATGCTTCACACAAACGTATTGAAAATATATTTCAAACTTCAAGTTGTTAAATACAACACTCATTTCCATATCCATTTACTTCTTCTGTCTACATTTTAAATTCCTTGTTAATAAAAAACGTGCATGTCACCTTCGCTCTTGTTAAAGTTCGCTTCCCCCGCCCGGTACGCCTATGCGTGTTCATCATACCAACTTGATCAAACGCTTTTGACATTTCTAATTTGTACTCTATGCTAGGTCTCTGATACTGCTGTAACGACCTTACGTCTCTATGACCTGTTTTGTCCATAATTAACTTATCTGGAATTCCCTTTAAGAAACCACGAGTTGCCATTGTTGCTCTAAGACTGTGATCTGTAAAGTTGCCTTCTATTCCAGCATCCCGATAAAGCTTCTTAACTACCCCTCCAAGTGTGTTGTAGCCCGTTGGATTTGAAGTGAACCAAACTAAAACACAGAAAATTCAGCTGAAGCTAAAAATGGAAATTAACTACAATAAACGATAAATAACTTGTTTGTACCTTTATCTGAATCAGAATACTTTCGGCGAGGACTCAAATAAAATATGATATGATTGGCGTAAAACTGACTTTACAAATATCCGGCTCGACTTTCTCGTTGGCTGGTGCTTTACTATTCCTTTCGTCCGCCCACTCTTTCCACACACGAACTGCCCATGCTGTATTATGCTTCGTGTTTAACGGGTTTCGAGTTTCCTTCATTTTCTGTGACTCTTCGTCGCTAATAAGTGATATATTTCTTGCATATATTGACTCGGCATGACTAGAATTTGCACTTATACTGACTCGCTGGTACCAAAATCAAGATTTTCAGTCCCTAAAATACTTGAAATTATACTTAGTTCGTCATCCAAAATAACAGGATCCGCTAAAAATGTATTTTGGGTTACTGATCCTGACAGTGAAAAGTCTTCCTCGTCACTAGCCATTTTGTGAAGTGCGAATGCGAGCCATTCGTCAAAGTGAGGCCAGAAATTTTACAAAAATATGTAGAAGAACAAAATAGAAATAAATTAACTAGCCTATAACTAGCGTAAAGCTCCTTTGAGATCTTCATCTCTTTCTGTACCCATCGGTTCAACAATAAGTCCGCATACCTCCAAGTATTTTCCTTCACAAATTACACTGAACAACAATAATTTCTATAGAAATTATATCTTAAATTATTCTTTTGAGAAAACCTCAATCATGAAATAAGTCAGTTAAAGCCCTCGAACCTCGGCTGTTAGCCAGATACAGACTGGCTAACAGCCTCGGTACTCGGGCTTTAACTCTCACATACAATGCACCAGATACCAGGAACATGAACGGGTGGGTGGGTGGAAATTTTCTTTCTCGGTAACAAGACATTGCTCTTTGTTGGGATATTTGTCAATGTGAACTCCTTTATCACATTGACCTTTGTTCTCCGTGTTCGTTGTTGACATATGATTGGTCAGTTGATCTTTCATTCGGTTTACACGTGCCCAGAGAAACATTTGAACTTTGGACTATTGGATATCGCCTTTTTGTGGCTGTTGACAAGCTTATCCTGTTACTATGAGATCATAACCAGGTTTGAAGGTGACAAACGTGTTGTCTCATTAACTTGAATTTATATATTATATATAAATTTAATTAGGATGAACAATTATGTAATCATACTAATTAGGATGAACAATTATATAAAGAATACTAATGAAGATGAGTTTTATCAGATGTAAAGTCACTCCACGTGAGGTATTATGGCTGAGATGATTTGCCACAAGGTTTATGAATTTTTAATGAGTATTTTAAGTAAAGTAGAAAATTTCAATTTTTCCGAATACATTTTCCAACATTTACCGAGTCGTACTCAAGACGTAAATTCATCAAATAATGCCATCAAGAACCTAAATTTCCCTGTTCTGTGACCGAATTTTATTCATCAGCCGACAATCTTGTCGGCTTAATATATGCAACTTTTCGAGCAATTGGGTTTGAGAAACTTAACGGACACTTACTTTTCACAAAACGAAATATAACTCAAAAAAATTTCTTTGGTGCCCCGTCCCCTGTCGCAGTTTGCAAGCTTCAAGCGAAGAGGGCAATTTTGGACCACGCAGATCTGTGGCTACCTGCAAAAAAAACTAAATATACAGCCATGGGATTTACTGTACACCACTACAATACTTGGAAAAATAATGATTTTATGATTCCCAAACCAGTTTGTTCTTTCGAAATGTACGTATTTCCCATTAAAACCATTCAAATCATCGAAAACATGCATTCATGTGAATATAATTTTTTTCTACAAACTGTCGAATTTTTTATTCACATTAATGGTAGCATTAATGGGTTTACATGCACCAATATACATTTTGGTGGCAATATTCACAGCAGTTAACATTTTGTGATACAAACAAAGCCCATTCTTATTATTCGTGCTGAAAACTTCTGTATAATCATCATTATGTAATATAGAAAAAACTCATCCATATCATGCAATGGTAAAAGTACATAAAACCCATTAAATGCATGTTTACGAAAGCCATTATGGATATACAGTATTGCCTTACAGTATATCCATTGGTTGGTTTTACAAATGGAATAGTATTATTTCTCAGCATTAATGTTTGTGTAAAAAATTCCTGTGAATATAAAACATTCAAATAAAACAGTAAAGGAATATTATTTTGTCAACACTGTTGTATTCGTTAAGAGTAATTGCTCAATGTGTTAAATGTTTTTTCCAAAGAGCACTGCCCAGAATGTTTTGAATTGTGTACCCTGTATTTGAAGCTGTAATTACAGTAAATATACAGCTTGAATTCTGTGGTTGCATACAAACTTTCAACAGAAGCAGTCAGAGCTGAACGTATCAATTATTTCTTTCAGATCGTGTCGCAACCACTTCGAATTCACAAAGGGAGGTGGATAAAAAGTAAGTACATATAGTTATGGTAATTGTACTCACTGTACCGCGCAAATTATGTAATAAATGCTCGGTATCTAATTTATGCCGAAGTGATATCAGAACTTTGTAATAGAAGCCCCTCTCTATCCCACTCGACCCTATACCTGCAGAGTCGTGAATACGATTTCATTAAACACTTATGTGCAAGACAATTCTCGTGAATTAAATTATGACATGCTATTCCACTATTCCAAACCCAGTTTTAAGTAACGAAACGTAGAAGTTCTGCTTATATTTCTATAAGTTGTAGTAATTGTTTCTCTCTATACCGCAGCTGTTTGAATTTAATATATTTTCAGAAGGTTGGCAAGACTTTATCAGGGTAGAACAATTTTAATCAACTACAGTATCTCTTGCAATGCTATCGTTATACAGGTGTCCCCTCCCCCCGAAAGAAACCAACCCCAAAATAACGGGACCCATCTAAGTTAATTATGCATCTGTTCATTGCAATGACCAACTGCAGTAATTTTATACAATAGTTTGATGACTTTGACAACACTGAGACTTCAATTTGTGGAATACGCTACCAAAAGCCCAGATAACGTTTGAATATCCCGAAGAGTTTTAATTATTAATTTCTCTTGTCATATACAGTGTGACGAATTTCATGAATGTCATAGCCGTCGGCCTGGACTTGCTTGCGCGCTTGAGCTTAAATTTCTTGAAGTGCGCGAATCTTAACGATGAGGGCTTCTGTCAAGTCGACTTGTCGCTCTTGTAAAATCGATATTAACATCTTCTAGCTATGAGTGGAGGAAACTTGGCTCCGAGCGCAAGTTTCAAAAAACTGCGATGGTCTACAAATCACTTAATGGGCTAGCGCCCGACTGCAGCAGCATAACGCGCAAGCTAACTGTTCCTTTGGCCCGTACCTCATTTATATTTGACTTACTTCCAATTTAGGAATTCCCATAGCGAGATTGAGAAAAGACGTCGGGATAAAATGAACCAGTATATCAATGACTTATCCACAATGATTCCTTTACCTCCATCAGTGGGCAAGAAACCTGATAAACTGACAGTTTTGAGATTTGCAGTTCAACATATGAAAGCTTTGCAAAGTACGGTACTTAAAATATAATCACAATTTTTTACATTACATTGTTCACTCACTCCCCATTGGAGTTTTTCAGTGACCGATTACATCAAGTATTACAATTACTTATGTTACCTACTTAGCCTAGACTATATATCTTTACAACAATTGAGATATTACTTTCCAGTAGTATGCAGATTGCCAGTTTCTTACCACTTTTTTCCTGGGATATTGACCATTTTTGTCCTCCTAGACCTTCTACAACAGTAAATTTGATGTACCATTTTCTGGTCTCAGACGACCTTTTCAACCCCGTTTTCATGTGGTTTTCGCTACCGACAACCCCAAAACTACTACTCACAGACCCCCTTCAACCACTTTTTTACTTTACAATTTTTCATCTTGTAGACCCATTCTAACCGCCAAAATAGTGCTCAGAATGCTCTTCTGAATTTTGGAGGTGGTAGGATATCGGCCCAGCGTTTTTAAAGTTTCGCTGAAAACGACTAATTTAACAACCACAGACCCTCTACAAGCCCATTTTTAAGAATTTTTCAAATTTTTACAGTGCTCTGCAAAAGCCCCAAGACCCCCCTTTTACAATGCTTCCAGAACCCTTTTAACACACCTTTTTACTGATAGAAACCACTTTTATTTTCGTTTTCTCCCTCATAGACCAAATTAAAGTCACTTTTTACTGCTTATATAACCTTTTCAGCTACAATTACCTCTTGAACACCCTTTTAACTCATCTTTTTACTGATAAACAACACTTTTATTTTCGTTTTCTCCCTCATAGACCAAATTGAAGTCACTTTTTACTACTTATATAACCTTTTCAGCTACAGTCGCCTCTTGAACGTATTCTTACATGTCCATACGTCAGACTCCGAACTCCATCGGTAGTCAGGAACCTTTTATCGTCAAACGCACTCAATGAAATCTTACTCAAATTGTACGTTCCAACTTCACGACAATCGCTCCTTATAACGTTCATACTATGTCTCATCTGAAGTCCTTCTTTCAATGTTTTCTTACAGTCATCATGTGTAATAAACTTCTTAATAATATACTTCTTTACACCTTTAGCTGTCCTATCACCTTTACCGCCATCTTTCTCATAACTATACATCTTTGACCGCAGACCAATAAATTCTCTTATAGGGACACCATCAGCTTCGTCTTTCATTTTTCCTATAACTTTCGTATTAGATGTATCATAGAACGGAGAATCTTTATTATAACCGCTAGTATCAAACTTATCGGAAAACTTAGCCGCATCCTCAAACGCATCTTCGGTGTGCAATCTATACATTAAACTATCAGTATCAGTAAAAAGTAACTTCGCTCTTTTTCCATAAAGTTTCCTTATATGGGTATAGTGAAAGTCATACATCAATGTCTTCGATAGATCAAGAATACTCATTCCAACATAGGCAGGCTTATTCAAAAGTAAGACTTCTTTTACCTTCTTAACTGCCACTAAACCGCCACTCAAAACTGCCACCGTCTTCTTTAGTCTATCACCGTCAACCTCTCCTAAAGTCTTCAAATACATCTGCTAACAACAGCACGTCAGTCTTCAAGTACAAGTCATGATAGTCGCCCAAACTCCTGCAACCAAACTTGTCAAACATCTTGCACGCTCTTAGGTAATCATCTTCGCTAACACTTTCTTCTTTCAATGAACTGTAGAAAGCAGATTTCCCAGGCAAGCACTTTTCCTTAAACTTACTCCAGTCGCTCATATATTCGTAAGGATAAACTCCCTTCTCAAGCAACATTTCAAGATCCTGACCTTTCCATTCACACTGCATTCTCTTGAAACGACTCTTATCAAGATTCCCAACAAGAGCCTCAAGACTACTGCTCATGAACTGCATAGAGTCAATGAAGACCAACTGTTTACCCACTCTGAAGGACATGTATTTTTGCATATTGTTGGCGATAACCTCAATTCTCTCTCCAAGCCCCGCAACTCCCTGCATAATAAAGTGGCTATCATATCCCCGTAAATTATGGAATACAACAGGGATTTTTCCAGTTAACTTATAATTTAGATTACACGAGTTATGGGCCGCGCCTCTGAATTTACCAGTTACATGACAATGATCAAGCACCTTTTTATCGTCGCCACTGAACTTACCACCACAGATGTGACACTCAGTTGCTCCCTCAAGTTCCGTATAGTCATTTACACTCATAACTGCCTCTTTAGTGAACTCATCTTGAATAATCCTATTGCATTCCTCAGTCTCATTTAGCACATCGGTTAGGAACCTCCCAGTCGCACCTACTCCCCTATAACTCTTATATTCACCATCATACTTACCATCATAGTAACACACTCTCTTAAAACCATAACTGCACATCTCATGGCTCTGTGTCTTGCGTAAACACTTTCCATCTCCATCAACAGGGATCAGCTGTGATTCGAAGTCAGCGTATATCACAAACGGAACAGATAATTGTCTCCTATGATTCTTAAACATAACTTTACTACCTCTCTTTGGCATCACAGTTTTCTGCGTTCCATTTACCTCTCTACATGTCTCTATATGTTCATCCAAACGTTCCTGTGAGTTGAAACCATTGAGGCAACTGAGACAGTAATACTTCTTATGCTGCGTCTTATGTAGACTGCTGAGTAGCATGCTAATATCCCTCACAAGGACATAATGACTATTTCCCTCATTGTCCTCAATTAACAGCAACTCCATATGGTCCTTATAATTACTCTTTGAAGTATATCTTGGGAAGAACGTCTTCTCTCCCCTCAACATGATCACTGTAATTCTAATTTCGTTTGCCCTCTCTATTTTAGGTATATCGTCTATCCTCACAGGGAAGTCAATACCCCTATAATCAAGTGTCTCAGCAAACTTTCTATCAGACCTAGTAATCTTAGTTGCCCTCTTAGCTTTTGACATCAAATGTCTCACATGACACCATCTAAAGCACTCGTTGTCATCCATGTTCTCAATATTGATTAGCCCGTTCCTATCAGACTTCAGACTATCAGGTAACTCGATAAATGAACTGCCGACCAATGGATTGAAATGAACAATGTCAACTTCATGTCTCTCAACAAAGATAACCCTCCAATTGCTGCCACGATCCTGGTAAGACTCGATTTTACCTATAATCCTCTCAGCACTAAGTCTCACTGCATCTTCAACTTCATTGGCGTTCATAACGGTAATCGTCTCACTTTCCATTGGAAGATCAACAGCAGTGTTCTCACTAAGAAGAACCTTTCCATTTTCAATACAAGAGTCTCAACAAACTTAATTGGCTGGTCAAGAACAGATTTGAGCAAGTTACTTACAATCTCACGACTCATATCAAGTTGCCCACCAAAGTCAGGTCTACTTATACCCAAAGAGAACTTCTCAACTGTTCCCTCATCACTTTCACCAGTCTTCGTATAATTTATAGTCTTATGCAGTGTTGGAGTCGCTGTTCCACCTATAACTTCAATCCCCTCTTCGCCAACCTTCATCGCAGCAATATTTCTTTTCAACTTTCTGTTATCGTTCCTAAGTACACCCAAAGCACCCTTATTGGTAACACTCTCCTTCTTCTGCTTCCTATTATCCTTCTCAAGAGCCCTAAGCTTTTTCTCGTTGTCAGCATCCTTCTTTTTCAACTCCTTGATTTCCTTATCACGAGCATCATCCTTTGCCTCCATAACATTCATCTGAGCTTGCATCTTCGTCATCATCTCAGTGTATGTCTTCAACATCTCCACAGGATTTCCCATAGGCAAGTTTTCCATCTTCTCTATACTATATGTATCAGAAAGTTTTTCCCCAATTCCCCAGATTTATTTTCCATTTTTATGTTTCCTCAAATCTTGTATGACGGAACTTTCTCTAAGCCGCATTTTAGTAATTCTGTGTTTGAATAAATTAGACCATATAGGCTCAGTACAAAAAGATTATTTTAATAACTACGTTTCGGAGTATAACTCCATCAGGTTAAAAAGTAACTCACCTTCTATGTTATGTTTAACTGTTTAAGTCCATATTATCCCACCAACCTTTCACAACCCATTATTCACTAGTTGTACACACTCCACAGTGATAATATTGTTTAACCAATCACCTCCACCAAAAACAGCAAGAATAGCTTCATCCATTACACTTTTCAATCTTCTTTTCAAGTTCCATCTTTTCAAGCTCAGTTCGCTCCTTCAATTTCCTTATTAACCATTCTCTATAGTATTTACACTTAACCGGCTCCCATCCAAGCTCAGGATAGATTTTACCAAACAGTGTATCTTCATTTCGGAAAACAACATGGTTACCCTTAGCTTCACCAATAGTTGTCTCAATCCCAAGTCTACTACATATTCTCAACATAGTTGTCTTCAGAAGAGGCATCTTAACTCCATCTTTCGTGTCAACAACTCTCCTTACCTCCATAAGGCAATCAAATATTTTATCATAGTCTTCACCCTCATGGTAACTTCCAACGATCTTCTTGATTTCAAATTTTTCCACCCCGTCATACTTAATATACCATAGGTAATACTTCGCTTTTCAAATTCGTCCTTTCCCACATTTTACGAATCTATCATTCAATCCACTGTTCTCCCTTTTCCAGAAGTCAGTCCGACGATCATGCCAATCTTTCCACTCATGTCCAATACAAGTATTTCAATCCATTGGTCGGCAGTTCATTTATCGAGTTACCTGATAGTCTGAAGTCTGATAGGAACGGGCTAGTCAATATTGAGAACATGGATGACAACGAGTGCTTTAGATGGTGTCATGTGAGACATTTGATGTCAAAAGCTAAGAGGGCAACCAAGATTACTGGGTCTGATAGAAAGTTTGCTGAGACACTTGATTATAGGGGTATTGACTTCCCTGTGAGGATAGACGATATACCTAAAATAGAGAGGGCAAACGAAATTAGAATTACAGTGATCATGTTGAGGGGAGAGAAGACGTTCTTCCCAAGATATACTTCAAAGAGTAATTATAAGGACCATATGGAGTTGCTGTTAATTGAGGACAATGAGGGAAATAGTCATTATGTCCTTCTGAGGGATATAGCATGCTACTCAGCAGTCTACATAAGACGCAGCATAAGAAGTATTACTGTCTCAGTTGCCTCAATGGTTTCAACTCACAGGAACGTTTGGATGAACATATAGAGACATGTAGAGAGGTAAATGGAACGCAGAAAACTGTGATGCCAAAGAGAGGTAGTAAAGTTATGTTTAAGAATCATAGGAGACAATTATCTGTTCCGTTTGTGATATACGCTGACTTCGAATCACAGCTGATACCTGTTGATGGAGATGGAAAGTGTTTACGCAAGACACAGAGCCATGAGATGTGCAGTTATGGTTTTAAGAGAGTGTGTTACTATGATGGTAAGTATGATGGTGAATATAAGAGTTATAGGGGAGTAGGTGCGATTGGGAGGTTCCTAACCGATGTGCTAAATGAGACTGAGGAATGCAATAGGATTATTCAAGATGAGTTCACTAAAGAGGCAGTTATGAGTGTAAATGACTATACGGAACTTGAGGGAGCAACTGAGTGTCACATCTGTGGTGGTAAGTTCAGTGGCGACGATAAAAAGGTGCTTGATCATTGTCATGTAACTGGTAAATTCAGAGGCGCGGCCCATAACTCGTGTAATCTAAATTATAAGTTAACTGGAAAAATCCCTGTTGTATTCCATAATTTACGGGGATATGATAGCCACTTTATTATGCAGGGAGTTGCGGGGCTTGGAGAGAGAATTGAGGTTATCGCCAACAATATGCAAAAATACATGTCCTTCAGAGTGGGTAAACAGTTGGTCTTCATTGACTCTATGCAGTTCATGAGCAGTAGTCTTGAGGCTCTTGTTGGGAATCTTGATAAGAGTCGTTTCAAGAGAATGCAGTGTGAATGGAAAGGTCAGGATCTTGAAATGTTGCTTGAGAAGGGAGTTTATCCTTACGAATATATGAGCGACTGGAGTAAGTTTAAGGAAAAGTGCTTGCCTGGGAAATCTGCTTTCTGTAGTTCATTGAAAGAAGAAAGTGTTAGCGAAGATGATTACGTAAGAGCGTGCAAGATGTTTGACAAGTTTGGTTGCAGGAGTTTGGGCGACTATCATGACTTGTACTTGAAGACTGACGTGCTGTTGTTAGCAGATGTATTTGAAGACTTTAGGAGAGTTTGCTTGGATAATTATAAGTTGGACCCTGCACATTACATTTCTGCTCCAGGGCTTAGTTGGGACGCTATGTTGAAAAGGACTGGTGTAAAGTTAGACTTGCTCTCTAATGTCGACATGTATCAGTTTATTGAAAAGGGAATGAGGGGAGGTGTAAGCTATATTGGTCATAGACATGCTCAGGCTAACAATAAATATATGAGTGACTATGATCCTGAAAAGCCAAGTAGTTACATTATGTACTACGATGCAAATAACCTCTATGGATGGGCGATGAGCGAGAAATTACCATATGGAAAATTTAGGTGGATTGATGTTGGTGAATTGGATCTTAGTAATTATGGTAAGGATAGAGAGAAAGGCTTGATACTGGTAGTTAATCTCGACTATCCGAGTGAACTTCATGGGAAACATAATGATTACCCGTTATCTCCTGAGATTAAATTACTGATGATATGCTAAGTGATTATGCTAGGTATACAAAGGAAGCTCACGGTAGTAGGTCTGCTGGTGTGAAGAAGTTAGTGACTACGCTGACAGGTAAGAAATCGTATGTCTGCCACATTGATAATCTGAAGTTGTATATGAAGATGGGAATGAAGTTGTTGAAGGTCGGAAGAGCGCTAGAGTTTTCCCATTCATGTTGGTTGAAGGAGTACATTCAATTTAACACTAATATGAGAACAGTGGCTAAGAACGATTTTGAGAAGAACTTTTTGAAATTAATGAATAACTCTGTGTTTGGAAAGACTATGGAGAATCTAAGGAAGCGTGTTGATGTGAAATTAATGGTTGACGGTGATAGACTAAAGAAGATGGTGGCATCTGCAAGTTTCGTTAGGGCTAAAGTTTTGAGTGGCGGTTTAGTGGCAGTTAAGAAGGTAAAAGAAGTCTTACTTTTGAATAAGCCTGCCTATGTTGGAATGAGTATTCTTGATCTATCGAAGACATTGACGTATGACTTTCACTATACTCATATAAGGAAACTTTATGGAAAAAGAGCGAAGTTACTTTTTACTGATACTGATAGTTTAATGTATAGATTGCACACCGAAGATGCGTTTGAGGATGCGGCTAAGTTTTCCGATAAGTTTGATACTAGCGGTTATAATAAAGATTCTCCGTTCTATGATACATCTAATAAGAAAGTTATAGGAAAAATTTATTGGTCTGCGGTCAAAGATGTATAGTTATGAGAAAGATGGCGGTAAAGGTGATAGGACAGCTAAAGGTGTAAAGAAGTATGTTATTAAGAAGTTTATTACACATGATAACTATAAGAAAACATTGAAAGAAGGACTTCAGATGAGACATAGTATGAACGTTATAAGGAGCGATTGTCATGAAGTTGGAACGTACAATTTGAGTAAGATTTCATTGAGTGCGTTTGACGATAAAAGGTTTCTGACTACCAATGGAGTTCGGAGTCTGGCGTATGGATATGTAAGAATACGTTCAAGAGGCGACTGTAGCTGAAAAGGTTATATAAGTAGTAAAAAGTGACTTCAATTTGGTCTATGAGGGAGAAAACGTAAATAAAAGTGTTGTTTATCAGTAAAAAGGTGAGTTAAAAAGGTGTTCAAGAGGTAATTGTAGCTGAAAAGGTTATATAGGCAGTAAAAAGTGACTTTAATTTGGTCTATGAGGGAGAAAACGAAAATAAAAGTGGTTTTTATCAGTAAAAAGGTGTGTTAAAGGGGTTCTGGAAGCATTGTAAAAGGGGGGTCTTGGGGCTTTTGCAGAGCACTGTAAAAATTTGAAAAATTCTTAAAAATGGGCTTGTAGAGGGTCTGTGGTTGTTAAATTAGTCGTTTTCAGCGAAACTTTAAAAACGCTGGGCCGATATCCTACCACCTCCAAAATTTAGAAGAGCATTCTGAGCACTATTTTGGCGGTTAGAATGGGTCTAGAAGATGAAAAATTGTAAAGTAAAAAAGTAGTTGAAGGGGGTCTGTGAGTAGTAGTTTTGGGGTTGTCGGTAGCGAAACCACATGAAAACGGGGTTGAAAAGGTCGTCTGAGACCAGAAAATGGTACATCAAATTTACTGTTGTAGAAGGTCTAGGAAGACAAAAATGGTCAATATCCCACGAAAAAAGTGGTAAGAAACCGGCAATCTGCATACTACTCTTTCCTAACTGTGTTTAGCCTAACCCACTCTGTCAACGTTCCCTGTGAGAGGAAACCGGAGCACCCGGAGAAAAGCCACTACTTTCGGCAGAGCGTTGACAGACTCTTTTAACATAAATCCGTAGCAAGAATCGAACCCACGATTTCAGAGGTGACAGGCGCTTGCTCTGACGACTGCGCCACCTTAATTGTTTCGCTTTTCTGATTGACCATGAGCAAATCCATTGGGAAATCTGAACAAATAAATCCGACTGTGTTGATTCTTAAGTTGTTGACTTTACTGTAATAATTGCTTTCGAACAGCCTGTGAGACATTATGTTAGACTGATTTGGTAATTGCAAGTGTGTGCCTGCCTGAACATGACTTTATTTTATATTTTGACATTTTTAGACAAAGTCTCAATTAAAGTTGCTTAAATGTCCAACTACAGCTGTCTTATTTTATAATGGGTTTTCCTATTCCCATTTTTGTGTCTATCGTTTCCAGTCCCAGTAACCCATATGCCATTTCCCCAGTCCAAAAATAGGCCAATACCAGTTCCCGTTTTTACCCCTTACTATGCTATACCATAGAAGCATAGATATAAGGATACTATAGAAGCAATAAACGCTCTAGGGTGGGAGCCTCTTGAAACTCGACGAGTCAAATCTAAAGTTAAACAAATGTGCGAAGTTCTAAGTGATTTGGCTCCAAGTTCACTCGGTACTCTTTTCGTACACATAAGAAACATAACAGAATATGATCTTAGGGGCTGCTCTACCTCACTACAACTACCTTTGCCAAAAACTGAAAACCGTAAGGTTACTTCACATGATGAACGTGCGTTTTAGTCTATTGAACATGACGCAACGAATTTTAGGTGTAACTTTACCAAATTTTTAGTGAAGAAAGCCAAAAAAATGCTGATTTCGAAAATCTTCATTTGATGAGTGTTCTGTTTAAACGTGTCCAGTATTGGCTGACTAAAGAAATACATAGGTATCCCATAAAAAAATCAAAATATATTTATAGTTTTCCTCGACGTTTGTCTACATATATCGAATTTAATCTTCATCGGTACGGTAAAAAAACGTGTGCGGAAAATTTCTCTTCTTCAATGGTTTTTCTGATATGACGTTTTCTTTGACAACTTCGTGAATTATCAGTGACAAATCCAAGAATCAGGGCGTATCAGAAAAACCACTAAAGAAGAGAAATTTTCCGCACACATTTTTTACCATGCCTATGAAGATTCGAATTGCGATATCTAGACAATCGTTGAAGTAAACTATAAACATATTTTGGTTTTTTTATGAAGGTACCTATATATTTACTCAGTCAGCCAATACTGAAAATGTTTAAACAGAACACCCATCAAATGAACATTTTCGAAATCAGCATTTTCCTGGCTTCCTTTACTGAAATTTGGTAAAGTTACACCTAAAATTCGTTGAGCAATGTCCAATAGATTAAAACGCACGTTCATCGTGTGAAGTAACTTTAAGAAAAGCTTCTGTTACGATGGAGCTAAATTGTGGAACTCATTACCTGCAGATATGCGTGATTCAGATAGTACATTACCAACAATCATAAATGCAATTGACGCTTATAATTTCCAATTTTAATTATGTTATTAG